AAGGACAAGAACGTATATTTTTTAGCACAACAATGACAAAACTTGTGCCACACTTTTCTGCTGGAATTCCATTTCTCTAGACTCTAGAGTACACCTAGTTTATGGTTAATGAGAATCTTGTTGAGCGAAAATTCTCTCCATTGTCTTTTATGTTTTTTTTTTCGCACTTAAGTGCCGGAATACTTTTATTTGTTGTCCAAAAAAAAAATCCATTATGTCATTTTGACCACAACAACAATTTTATTTGTTTCCCCTAACGTCCTTTGAGTATCTGGAGAGGCCATTACTAATTAAGACCTAGAGTTTGTTCTCCTCTCTTTTTTGGTTTAATGTATTAACTTAAGGCATGACTTAGCCCCTTTTTTGCCGCAAAAGGTGTGTCGGTCTCTTCACCTTTGTGCTCTTAACCGGGTGGACATGAATGTGTGTTATCTTGATTCAGATTTGATGATATGACCTGGGTGATGTGTTAGTCTTTCAGTAAAGGCAATTAGTTAAATGTTTTGAGATCTCATTTAGGCCAGAAATGAATATGAAAATCCAAAAATTAAAATGTTGACGTTAATGGAAATGGCAGAAGTTAAATTAAATCAATCGCACAGATATTTATAATATTATCTCAAAACCATTCCAAAGATAGAGAATTTTGACCACGAAAGAGGTCTAGAATCCGGATTCAACTTTCTGAGCTTACTTATGTTAAAAATTTCAATATTCTAGTAATGCCATATCTGAATGCGATATATTTGATACGGGTTTCTAGATACCCAAGAAGCAGTTTTGATCGCCACTCACCTGTAACACCATTCAATTGTTGTTGATCTCAATCACACCATCATCTCACAATACCTGCTAATTTAATCCACTTTTGTTCTGGAAATGAATGAAATCTATTTAGCTAATCGCCAAGCGTCAATTGGATAATTAAACCATTTCCGTTCAGTTCTATGATGGTTGTTGTCTGTTCCCCTCTTTTCGTATTTGATATTCTTTGTGAATTGTTTCAAATTAAATTTTTATTTCCAGTTATTAATTCGGGATGAGCTTACTTTACTCAGAAACAAAAAATTCCGAAGCTAATAAAATCACCTCTAAACATGCCAAAAACAAATATTTCAACAAAATCTCCCCCAAAACGAACACACCTCACTGATAGATTCCACTTTTTATTTGCTCTCCAATGCTCTCTGGTAATCGGCAAAGATCAACCGATATGGATTATAATGAAAAGCCATAAAAATTGTTTGGCATTCCGACATTTGGTGCTTCATGCCCGCAACTCGTTGTGGCTCGTGTATGTGTATGTGTGTGTGTGTTTCTATTTAATTTCTCGATTAGATTTTGACTTAATTTCATCAAACGAATAGCCAAACTAATCTATAAATTGTTTCTAGCGAGTTAAACGCTTATTTAACCCCCACAATAAAATTGAGAACTGACATGTGAGCCAATGAACGGACGGACGAACAGCGTCTCTATGTGATTGCATAGGAGTATGTGTGTGTGCGAATGCGTGTGTGAGTGTGTTTTAGGTGTAATCAATGCCTCTAATTGCCTTTCAAATGATTTCTGCTACCGCTAGTGTCCATTTCTTGGGAAACATAACACATTCGTGTGAATGGAAAGTAAAATTGATTTCTTGGTTTTCCCGAGCTAGAATGGATTGGGACAATGACTTTTAATTTGACCTATTCAGAGTGAGTTTCTAAAAGGGAAATACTAATTTGTGCATGCAAAGAAATCATAAGAAATATGGCGTTAGATTCGATTTGATTGTGTTGAACTTTTGGCTAAAATATTAACAAGTAAACACGACGACAATTTCGGAAGGAAGACATTTGTGTACCCCGCAACCCCATGATGCTCATAAAACACGAAATTAACATCCGATTCCATTTATACTTGCATCTGTTATAAAGATGGTAGAGATTGGACCATTCCTTCTGGTACATCCCGCACAAAGGCCAAAGTTTAAAAAAATCCGAAATAAGCATCCGGTTTTCTTCGTATTTCACACAGCCCATTATTTCTACTAACACAAGATCTGTTGTGAAGATGGGATATATCGGTCCACTCCTTCTGATACCTCACCCACAAAGGTTCAACATTTTGAATATCCATGAAGATCACAAAACACGAAATTACCATCTGATTCCATTCACACTTGGTACATCTCAATATTTTCATTAATACAAGATCTGTTATAAAGATGGTAGAGATCGGACCCTTTCTTCTGCTACCTCCCCCACATAGCTCAAAGAAAGCGAAATAAGCATCCAACTCTCTTCAACTATCACACATCCAAACATTTTAGCTAACGCAAGAATTGTTGTGAAAATAATATATACCTGCCAACACCTGCCAGTACCTCACCCACAAAGGGTCTCAATTTTCGATACATATATCGTATCGTAACTTGCGAAACATGGTAGCGGTTCTGTACAACTTGCAATATCTAAATATTTCTCTCAACCAGAAACCTGATGTGAATATGGAATTTATCGGAATTTATGATTTCGCATAAAATTGGATATACATGGTGAGATGAAAAAACTGCAACCTACGTCCGACTGCTGTCATTTCTAAGCCACTCGTCCGACAGATGCTAAAATTATTCCAGTGACAGCCATTATATTGTTTACAAGCATACAAAAGGATTTTGGTGAGAATTTTCCAGAAAAAAGTTATTCGTGATGGGATTCAAGCGGGATAGTGTGATTTCTTTATATTCGGTTGGAAAACCACAAGTCGCTATCGTTAGAGCACTCCAGCATTTAAATGTGAATAAATCTTTTGTGTCTCTTACCATCGCTCGTTACCGTGATACTGGTAGAGTAGCCCGACGTCAAGGAAGTGGACGGAAGAAAACAGCAACATCAGCAGAAATGGTTCAAAAAGTAAAGAAGCGACTTGATCGAAACCCGCGTCGCAGTGGCCGAAAAATGGCTCGTGAGCTGAACATATGACAATATTCCATTCGGCAAATATTGAAAAATGAGCTCGGGGTAAACCCACTGAAATTACAAAAAGTGAAAAACTAGACTCAAAGGAGCTAAAAAGTTGCTTCGCTTAGCCGAAAGTGGTGAACTGTCGAATTTGGGTAAACAAAGAAAATGATCGTATTTACTTGCCAAAGAGGTCAGTTGAAAATGTGCACCTCCGGTTGGCCACCATGGTGATGGTATGGGCCGCCATAACAGCCGATGGTCGCTCTCCGCTCGTATTAGTCGACCGTGACATCAGAATAAATGCTGAATATTATCGCGAAAATATTTTGGAGGGTATATTAAAGAGGGTGTATTAAATACCCAAACATTTTGTCCGCACACCTTGGAAATTCCAACAGCACTCAGCACTATCGCACTCAGCACGCGCCACCCAGGAATGGTAAAAAATTAGGTTCCTCGCTTCATTTCCAGCGCACAATGGCCAACAAAATCTCCGGTTACCAATCCGTTTGACTATTGTGTCAGAAGTATTTTGGAAAGGAAGGTTGGCATTACAAAATACCAAAGTATCGATCACCTCAAGCAAGCGCTTCGCCGGGAATGGGCCAAAATACCGCAGAGCAACATTCGGGCAGCGTGTGACGGTTTCATTGGCCGTTTGAAAGCCATAATTCGTCCAAAGGTGACCAATTCGAACAAATCTAAACTTATTGTAGGATTTTATGCTATTTCCGACATTTTTTACTTTCATTTAATAAAAAAAATGTAAAAGTTATGGCTTTGTTCCAGTTTTTTATCGCATCCTGTATTTATTTAGGGCCCATACGAAATGGACAATATTGGCCCATTCCTTCGGAACCTACTCCATACAGGGTCAACAATTTGAATAATCATAACAGAAGTAAATATATATTTAAATAATCGAAGATTGGCTGAAGGTGCACATCTGTGAGCTGACTGATACTTTTCAACTTGTTTTTTTACTTCTTCATTTGACCCTTATTTGTCATCTTGGTTTCTAAGAAGGTAAAAAATGTTCTCACATAAAATGTTCAATGTAGGTCAATGTTCCGAAATAGCGTGCATATTAAGATGCCTCCTGATCTTAAATATTTCGAGGATCTTGACCATGAATAACAAAGTATGGGCCAGTATACATTTTGCCATTGATGATGAAGAATTTTCAGAAGAATCTATTGACCATGATATATTTTTCTTAAACTTTAACAAGACATTTGTAAGCCGAAATGGATCTACATCATTTAACTACTCATTTCCTATTTTTCTGCCAATATTTTTTTAACATCTTTCAATAATTTACATCACATGATTTGATATCGATTTAATTTCTTGTGAAATCAAATCACGATAACTTAACGAACAACATCTGGCTCAACAAAATGCTAACGAAACAGTGCCCTCATCAGCAATTTGTTTACGTCAATCAGTATTAAATCCATCAATAAAACGATGAATATTTAATTAATCTGGAAAAATAGAAGAAAAAAACACGAACTGTTTGCCAGCCTCTTTGGCACGATTTAATTGCGGTGATCTGTGGGCTGATCAAAACAAGACAAGCGTAAGCATCAAAATCTAAAGACGATGAAGACGAAGAATGGAAACAAGAAATTCAAGCTAAAAAATCACACCTCAACCTTAATTAATTACAACACATTTATGACAGGCTGACACGATTTCGTCGTACAAGTCAATCATTTCACAAACAAGTCTTTGTAAATTGAAGTAAAAATTTTTTGTAATTTTTTTTTTCGTTTTTACAAAATAAAATAATGATAAGGTCATATTAGCGCTTTCTTCATATTTCCTTAAGCAGAGAAATAAAATAAAATCGGTCTCTTTTTATAAATAATGTCGTGAGTAAAAAACGAATCTCTTCTTTACCCCTTTTGTATAATTTATAAGCTATAGACATATTTCCTGGCTACTCAAATATCTTTTTTGGAAAAAAAATTGTTTTATTCCAAAAATACATCCGATACTTTTATATTTCTCTCTAATTCTTTCCAATTTATTTTCCTTGCATTTCAGATCCTGCTACGCTGAGTATTTTTGCTACACGCCCCAATCCCAAGAAGAAACGCAAAAGTCGCACAGCCTTTACAAATCATCAAATATTTGAATTGGAAAAGCGATTTCTCTATCAAAAATATTTATCTCCAGCTGATCGTGATGAAATTGCTGCAGGTTTGGGTCTCTCAAATGCTCAGGTTAGTCCAAAAAGTTGATTGACAAACTTCCCGAAATGCAAACAATCGCTAATGTAACAATGTTTTTCTCTGTTTTTCTTTTTCGGTTCGTGTGGATGTATTCGTTGCTCTTCAATGCTGCCATTGCAGGTCATTACATGGTTCCAAAATAGACGTGCCAAACTGAAGCGGGACATGGAGGAACTCAAAAAGGATGTTGAAAGTGTGAAACAATTGTCAGCTCATAAAAGTTTTTTAGAAAATGTTAATGATTTAAGTATTTTAAAGACCCGACCAGTCAGCCGACATCACCAGCCGCATCCCCACTCTCAGCAGCATTCGGAAATCAGGCATACAGCAGCAGCGGCTACACATGGCAACCCTGGTACATCAACAGGAGCAACATCAGCAACAATGCCGCCAACAGGACCTACCATCAGTGTGCAACAGTCACCCAGTACAATGCCAATACTCCTTCACCCACACCTCCAGCCCCACATTATCCCAGTCCGGAACACGTGCAATGAAATTCGAGAACCTCAAACCCCCGTTACAGCAACAATTAACGATGCCAGTGAAGAAAGCAGTCATGCCAATGCAGGACAATCATCATCACCACATCAACCACCAACAACAACAACAACAACACGCAGCATCAGTCAAATCAACAACAGTCGAGGCTAAGAAGGATATCAAATTTTTGAAATTGTGCACCCTACTACACTATCGCCACCAGGAGAAGCAAAGGAATCCCGGTGTGTAGATGGAACAGAAACGGAGATTTCTCATTTGCCAAAAAAAAGTATTAAATTTGAAATTAGCTTGATTTGTAATGGAAACTCTTTCTCATATCTCTACATAGACATGTGTACGTTCATTATCATTATGAGTTCTAAAATCGAAAATAATTGTGTAAAGTTACATAAATCCATATATGTAAAATATTTGTGAAAAATATAGGTCATTCCTAGTTAAATAAATTTGAGAGAAATAAATAAAATGTAGTCGGTGTTGTCAGTTGTGGTTACATATTAAATTGCGGTAGATTTTTGGATTAACCTTAACTTATTTATTCTAGAAACTGCACCCTTATAGGAAAAATTACAAACGGAATGACAATATTTAGCAGAGGTTATTAAAAGGCAAATACTATTTTGGCACAGATTTTAAGAAAAGTTGGAGTGGCATCCTCAAAATTGGCATTAATTCAGGGAAGCATTCTATCCTTTTGTAATTTTGCTCAGATACTGTCAGTACCCAAAGATGAATTAACATTGATATTGAAAATTATACATATCGTTTCACTGTACTTCATGATTTTCGCTATTTTGGACGTTTCGATCATAATTTAAAACAAGTAAAAAAGCAAAATACCCTCCACCATTTAGAACAAATTAGAAAATGTTCAAGAAAATAACATCCATTAAAAATTCTTATAAAATCTTTAAAATATCTAATATAGGAAGGTGTCGATATATGGAGGGATATACGATATTGTGGACCCATAAAGACAAATCTATGTCTGGGTGTAAAGTACTCACAAGGAACTCCTTGGTTGGATAATTCTGATAATTCCATTGGAAAAATGTGGGTAAAGTCATTAAAATACCGAATATCGGGGGGTACCGTTATATGGGGGTATACGATATCGTGGACCTATATAGATAATTATCTCTCAGGGGGTAAAGTATTCACAAGGAACTACTTGTGTTCTATTAAAAAATGTGGCTAACATCATCAAAATACCGAATATCGGGGGGGTATCGTTATATGGAGGCTATACGATATCGTGGACCGATATAGCCCATCTTCGAACTTGACCTGCCTGCAGACAAAAGAGAGATCTGTGCAAAATTTTAGCTTCCTATCTTAATTCGTTTAGACTGTAGCGTGATTACAACAGACGGACGGACAGACGGACGGACGGACAGGGCTAAATCGTCTTAGCACTTAACACATGTCTAATATAACTACTACTACTTCGTCCATATTATATGAGATATATGATTATTATACCCTCAGCCATATGGCTAGAGAGGGTATATATCATTTGATACGGCCAAAACGTGCCTCATAGAAATAACGATTTTAAATCCCAGGACTCTTTGAACCAAATCCGTTTCCGGACATTTGGAGTCGATCTAGGGGTATCCAGACAGACGGACGTCTGACTGGTGCGCACGATAACTCTTGAAGGGAGCATCCGATTTGATTCAAACTTAGTGCATCGTAATTTTTTTTTTTTAAATTGTTAGAGGTACCGATCTAGTACCTCTCCCAATAAGGTCGACATTTTCACAGAAAATAATTTTCCGTATACAATAAGAACGGATCATCCACAGATCATGAAAATGGACAATATCGACCCACACCATCGTGTACCTTCCACACAAAGGGTCAGAATTTTGAATAATTAAATCTCTTATATAATACGAAATAAGTACCCGATTCTCTTCAAATTGCACACAACCCAATATTTTTACTAGTACATAAGTAGGTGCAAAGATGGAACATATCGATCCACTCCTTCTAGTACTTCCCCCACAAAGAGTCAAAATTTTGAATAACCAAAACGACTATAAACGCGAAATAAGCGTCCAATTCCCTTCAAATTTCACACATCACAATATTTCTATCCACACATAATCAGGTTTGAAGATGAAATATGTCAAACACTGCCTCCCCCACAACGGCTCAACATTTTAAATAATTTGCTAAATAAGCTGTCGATTATATTCATCTTCACACATCCCATTATTTCTAATAAGACAAGACTTGGTGTGAAGATGGAATAAATCGGCCACTGCTTCTGGTACCTCCCCCACAAAGGGGTCAAAATATTGATATGAGAAACCGTGAGTCCTACTATTTTTCCTACAGACCTAAGTCTGTTAACCAGCAAAAGGAGTGAATCAATTTCGTTCTTTCTTATTTAAGCTAATTCAGATTACAATATAAAGATATTCGAAATTTCAATTAAATCAGATATCCTTTATACTTTCATATGATAACTTATTTTCTTTCAAGTTTTTTTTTTAATTCATTTATATTTTATTATTATTTTCAAGTTTTTCTATCCATAGAAGCCTTGTGGAAGATCATAAATCCATAGAATACCTGTGGAAGGTCTCATATCTATAGAAAACATGTTGAAGGTTTCCTATCCATAGAAGACCCCTTAAATGAAAACTGTTATACGGAGACATGGACCTGCATATGTAATTTGTTATCAAGCTTCTCAGGTTGTAGCACCTATTAAGATCTTCAAATACAAAATTTTAGACAATTCCGGTGTATAATGTCTCTAGAATCATTAAAATACCGAATAGTGAGAGGCATCGTTATGTGGGGGGCTATACGAAGAAGTTTGCCTGCATATGTCATTTTTTTGTTATGGGCTGTAGTACCCATTAAGATCTTCAAATACGAAATTTAAAAACAATTCCGGTAAATAATGTATCTAAAATCGTCAAAATACGGAATATTGGGAGGTATCGTTATATGGGAGCAATACGAAGACCTCAGCATATTCGGCATACTCAATTTTTCGTCATAAGATGAAGTACCCATTATGAACTTCAAAATGTCACTAAAATCATCAAAATACCAAATATCATGACGTATCCTAGTTTGAGGACTATACGAAGACCTGGACCTGCATACACAATTTTTTATCATATGCTGTAGTATCACTTTCGAACTTGAAATTCGAATTTTGAAACGATTTCGGTGTATAATCTATTTATAATTATCAAAATATCGAATATTAGTAGGTATCCCTATGTGTTGGCAATACTAAAACGTGGACCAAAATTACCCATTTACGAACTTTATTTTGCAACAGATAGACAAACAGTCATAGCTAAATCGACTTAGAATTTTACGCAAATTCAGAATATATATACTTTGTAGGGCCTTACATGAGTATTTCAAGGAGTTAGTAATGGAATGACAAATTTAGTATACCCTCCATAGAAAGCTGGAGGTTGTAAAAATTATGAATTTCGAAAAATAAAAATCGTTTGAAATCTGGAATTTTAGAATTAATTTAATGGTGTTTTGACCAATTTTAGAGTTGTACAAAATATGGTCATAAGCGGGAGTACATACATCTGACGATAAATCGATACTTCTCTTTACCAGATATGTATGGCGAGGACATGCCAGATATGCCACAGACTTTTATTTCAAAAGACAATTTATTAATTCTACTATGAGAGAGAATTAATTATAGCTAGAAGGACAATTTGAATTCGAAAAGAATGAAAAGGGCGTACGACTAGGATAGTTCCGACAGATTGCGAAAAAATACGTTATAGTTTTGGAATAGGAATTTTATAATTTTCATCCCACATTTCGCTTATCACCTTAATATCGCCATAAAAAGGAGTACCGACGACATAAATATGTTTGCGCACATCAAGAAACTCAGGTTTATTGAGGCTTATTATGAAGGGTTCCAATTGTCCATGTGAGCGGAAATGACTTAAAAAATATATTCTCCTACTCCTGTATAGATTAAAAAACACCAAAAAAAGTTGTCTGGAGAAAATAAAAATAAACTTAATAAAACTTCGAAATTCAATTCTTAAGGAATGACCTAGATGTATTATACGAAGTTCTAATTATTTGTTTTTCTTTTGCCCACATCACAATGTAAATACAAAACAAAAACTAAATTTTTCTTCCCCTAATACTGCTTAACCTTGACTCCCTAATTATCCTTAATTGCTTATGTCGATGATGAACACATGCCAATATTTGTGTCCATATATGTTCTACATTTATGAGTATATTTTAATGTACATATGTATTATGATATTACGTCTGATGAATATAAATTGTGTTCCTAATGATGAGTTATATTAAATTACTGTGTTCAAATCAAATTACCATAGCATTACATATTATCCAAGACATGTATTATTCAAATTATGTAATATTTCTTCGTTTTATTATTCTTCATTATCAGTAAAATATAAGCTTAATGATTTATGAAAATGTAATGAATATATGTATGTAGTACTGAACTCATTAAGGAATTAATATTGTCAAACACGTGCTAAACGATTTAAACAACTTTTTTTATTCAAAAGAAAAACACAAAATTCCTTGTTAATTGTTAAAAGACCAATTCTTTGGTGAACAATTATTTCTTTTCTATAGGAAAATATTTTTTAAAATTAAAATATGGACATCCTAACTCTTTGATGACATTTTAGTTCATCATAAAAACTTCGTTTAATTATTTTATTAATATAATAGTCTTCAAATAAACGTTGATTAATAAAAAGTAATGAATCTACATTAATATTTTATTTACAATGAACTACCGCAAAATGTTGTAAAATCTAAAGCTTGAAAATTAATACAAACCGTGATCGATTATTTATCATTAGTTATTAAAATTACATCACATTTAACAAAACGAAAATTGATAATAAAATATATGTACTATATGTATATTCAATATATATGAAAATCGTGTTTTTATTTTTAGCACAGTTTGAAGATTTAGTACCTTCGACTTGGAAGCAATGAATTTTCAATAAATATGTATGATTTGTTTAAGTCGAATAATGCATTAAACATTAGGCACCTAATGAAATCACAGAATCGGTAGGTTAATGACCTATGCTCAACAACTGTGCGTATCCATCCCTTAAAAGTAAGTGATTTGACCTTATATGAGAATTTTAATAGGAATAAGAAGTCGCCGTCATATTGGGATCTATACGAAGACGTAGGCTTGCACAGACAACTTTTGTCAAAGGTCATTACAATATTCAAATACGAAACTTGAAAAAATTCAGGTGAATAATGTAGTTAAAATCAAACGAAATATAGGGATGTACTGCTATATGGGGGCTATACGAAGACCTATACCTGCATAGACAATTTCATGTCACAGTCACACAAATACGAAATTTGAAAAAAATTCCGGTGAATATTGTACCTAAAGTCGTCAAAAAGACGATTATAAGGAGGGACCGATATATGGGGGCTATACGAAGACCTGGACCTACAT